CAGACAGAGAGAGAGACAGAGAGACAGACAGAGAGACAGAGAGAGAGACAGAGAGACAGAGAGAGAGAGAGAGAGACAGTCAAGAGAGAGAGAGAGAGAGAGAGACAGTCAAGAGAGAGAGAGAGAGACAGACAGACAGTCAAGAGAGAGAGGGACACACAGACAAGAGACAGTCAGAGACAGAGACAGTCGGAGACACTCAGCAGAGACAGACAGACAGACAGTCAGTGAACGAAATATTTTAAAAATTCTCAGAAGAAAAGATCACTTCTAAAAAGAAAAGATCACTATACATTTCCTCTTGTTCTTTCTTTATGCTCTTATCAAAATAACATTCAATATAATGTGCAAACGTACCCTCAATTCAGGAGGAAGAAGTTTTTCCAAGTCCTCTTTCCCAAATCTGCTATCCGCAGGAATTATATCATCACTACATAATGCTAATAAGAGAGTACTTTCCCAAACAAGAGAACTATACAATCTGGCCAAGCCACGCAGAACACTGAGTCCCAACTCTGAAGCCCAATGAGAAATTGAGAGAGAGCGTATTTCGGTCTGAAATCAATCAACAAAATTATTTAAGTTCATATTGAAGAAAGATGTAAAACATTAATTATATGTTTATTGCTTTAACTTACTTGTCCAGTCCGACACACATGTACAAACATCACAACATAGCCATGAGCAGCACTCATTGCATGTAATAAAGGGGTAGCTGATGCTGTACTGAAAGCTGTTTCAAGATTAGGAGCTGTAGCTAATTCATGCAAAAGTACAGAACTTCCAGGTTCTTCTATTGGGCAGTGCAACGGTCTGAGAGAGTCCAATACAACACTCAATTGCATGAGTCCAATTTTTAGAACCTGAGGCTCGTGAGACAAATTCTAAAAATAAAATATTAGCATTTAAAAAAATTACATTGACAGTGAACTAACAGCATTGCAGTAACAGTTGAAACTAACCAAAATTGATTTACAAACAGTAGCAACTGCTTGTGCAGCAGCAGTGACAGGATAATCAACAGGCAAATTTGGTAAACCCAAAATTGACATCAGAGGTGGTAATCCTTTCTGTGCTACAAATTCCCGACAATGATCATCAGTGGAATTATTACTTAAGATGGCATCCACAAATTTCATCTGGAAAAATCACATCAGTAAATTAATTTATCAATAACAAGGATGGATGTGTATGTACATTTCAGTGTATGTAAATGAATACGAATAAATTTCAATCTCTTTCCGATCCAAGTGGAATTTGTTTTGGGCAAGCATTACTAGGGAGAAGCAAAAATGACAATGTTGAGAGTAATTGGGTTCTGAACTACAGCCATTGCGCTGTTTCCTGAAAACATATGAAACATTGAAATTTTCTCTGAAGAACAACATGCAATGAAATGTTTGGGTTACCAAACTGTGAAAGCCACTTTAACACTTGCTTACCACATTTATTATGTAGTCCAGTAAAGCAACTGGCTGACGTTCACTGAGATTAGTGGTCTCTGTAGTCGTTTCCTCTCTCTGTGTGTGTGAAGAGGTAGATGCTTCTTCCTCATCTTCCTCCTCCTCATCACTACTACCTCCTTCATTACTAGTTGATGGACGTGGTGCAGGAGTAGGAGAGACATCCATTCTGTTTTGAGCCCGCCAGCACACGTATTTTGGATCACGTCCAAGTTCACAAAGCTCCTCCAAAAGCTATAATACGAAACAGTATATCATAACTTTCCCCAAAACACACCAAGGGATAAATAACCATAAAACCAATTGAAACATTATTACGTATTATAAATGTAACTAGTGTTACAACAGCACATACTCTCCTGCATTATTCATAACTAGCACCTTTTGAAATTTCAAAGTTCCACAAAAAACAGACATACCACACTCTTAAAAGCATACTTCACACTATATAAGAAAAAAATTTAAGAAATAATTTGGTGTAGTATTTGATAAACTCGTTTTAAAAATTGCCTTTATTTCACACAAAAGTATACAAAAACTTCACCGATTTAAAAAAAAAATTGCACATAGGCTCATTAAAGATTTAGTTTTTAAGAACACATTTCATTATTATTAAAATACCCATCTTCAATTTTGTTGAGTTGTAGGAAGATGCAAAAAATATTTTAAACATACGCAATATTCAAAAATTCAAATTATCCATTTTTACACACTATATCTAAAAAAAAAAATTTTGAAGAAAAATTTGGAGCTATTTTGGAGAAAATTTTGAAAAGGTTATTGTAATGTAAAATTGAACACCAAAATATCAACTCCCCAAAAACAAAATATTCGTTTGCAAGTCAAGAGGTTGGAACATTAGCCAATGAGCAGGAAATCAATTTTTGTGAAAATTCAGCCAGCAGTTAAGCCACTAGTGTTGTTTACAGACAGGCAGATACACGACACATAGATGTTTCGTCATAAACTCCTTTTTTGGTATAAAGGACCCACAAAACTAACTGCATTACATTTTAGGGGTGTTAGGAGAAGAAATTTACTACATGTACAAACAAGAAATTGGGTGTTAAATGGCTGGCCCAGGCCTGGTGAGGATCACTTATGTCCAATGGTAATAAGCAGGACTCAGATTCTGAAATGTCATCTTTTCATTAATGCATTCTAGATGTAGCTAACTTGTAAATACATGTTTATTACAACACATAGGTGATAGAAATGTGTGGTAATTTGGACATTTTTTGTAATTTTTCAATTCTTAGGTCATATTTTGGAACCAAGTCAGTTTTGTCATTTTTACTTATTTCGTTTCCTTTTCATGTTTTTTGTTAGTGAATGTTTTATGAATTTACAATAACACACAAGAACCAAGTTTTTATTGTATCACCAGTTTATGAAGAAATTAATTACGGTAGTGGACTTATATTTTTCAAACTCTCAAAATTAAAAGGATCCTCCTCCATCAGTAACTTCCTAAACCTTCCAAACTCAACCGTTGGAGATCAGAGCTAAGGATTACGTTTCTTTCTAAAATAAAGACTTTATATTATGTATAATTTATATACAAATTACATGTAATATTTAATATTTTAGTATTTAAAAATGTAAAATTCATTAAATAAATAAACATTTTCATACAAATTAACTCTTTTATTTGAATTTTTGAGTATTTTTAAAAAATAGGTCATTTTCCCCTTCTTTTTAAATCATTTTCCACGTCATTTTCTGCTTACTTTTAAGTCATTTTCCGCTTACTTTTAAGTCATTTTACACATCATTTTCCGCTTACTTTTAAGTCATTTTACACGTCATTTTCCTTTTACTTTTAAGTCATTTTCACTGAAATTTTGAATGAAACCAAGGAAAATGCCAGCAACTTAGTGTCGCAGCTGAACTGCCTCATTCATGAGGGCTGGCAGATCACTGGTGCCAACTTGCACCAGCTTGTCCATTTTCTGGTCATACCTCACATATAGTGAACTGTAGGAAGACTTTTGAAATGTCAGTTTCATGGATATGGGAAAGATACAAAGAAAAATGCAAGAAGTTTAAAACGTATAGTTCATGGACAAAACCCCAGGACCTAAGACATTATATAATCAATACAAATGGAATTGCCCATAAAATCTAGAATATATGTTCATTTTGAAACAAACAATTTACCTTAATGATGGCAGAAGTAGCAGAACTCTTCAACGTGGGTTGATGACGCATCAATTCATCCATTGCATTTCCTAAATTTGAAGCAGTATCTCCGATGGGATCAGTTGTTCTTCGCCGCCTCATCGCTCCCAAGTAGACAGGGGAAAGTAATACTTTAAATAAACTCTCAAATGGGTTGCACACAATAAATTGAGCTAAACCACGATCATTTAAACACAATGCACTGAAAACATTTGGAAGAGAGCCCAAGACTTCACGTGTTGCAGGGACCTGAAAAAACAAGTTTCAAATTGTTATTTATTTTTAATAATTATTTTATATTTATATCAAAATTATTAATACAAAATAATAATTTATTTTTAAAAAAATGTATTTGCACTGTCCAGAAACGCTTCACTTAAAAATCATAGTAATCATGGTACTCTTCGTAATATCAATCCTATACTTTATGAAGATCTGACAAACCGTCAATTGAAACAAAATGTTTTCATACATATGTGTTTAGTTGAATAGCAATGTTAATAAGAATTCCAGAACAGTATCATTAATGCCACATGAAATAAAAATTAACCAAGAATACTTGCATCTTTCACAAGTAGAGCTTCCAACACAACATGAGTTAATCCATTATCTTGCAGTGATGATAAAAGGGATGGTTCTTGGAATACATATACTGTTACTACATCAGTAGCTAACAGAAATAACGAAGGTCCATAATACTCAGCATTACTTATTATATGTCTTAATGAGCTAGGAAGTGATCCATCCATGATGTGTCGAATACTATCAGCAAACGAAGTATCTTGAATTGCCTTCTTGAGAAAATTAAGCATGGACTTCAGCAAAGCAGCTCTTTGAGGAAGGCACATCTTGCCAGTTTTTGCAGCATCATATTCTTTCTGGCGCCTCAAAATAGACGATTCACCACCTGCATCACTGTGAGGAGGATGTGCTCCCTCTGGAAGACTAGGAGGATGGACACCAGACTCTCTACTTGCAGCTGGCTCCACATCCATTTCTTCTAACACAGGTGGCCTTTCATCTTCAGGTGGTCTCATTTCTTCATCATCTAAATAAAACATTTAAAAAATGTTTTTATTAATCATAATTTTAATAATAAATCAATGTACTTATACGTGATAATTTAAGATAATTTAATAGTGATTTCATGTTGCACTATTCCACAATATTCGCAACATTTTTTTGTTTTGATATTTACCAGGTGGTGATGAATCTGCAGTAGGAATTTCAAAAGGCTGTTCTTTCCTACAAATATTAACTTCCATCTGTAAATTAAAAAGTTGTTTGGTGCAAATATGAAAATGTAGAAAATAAACTTAGTATAAGAAAAGGACAATTAGAATATATTAATTTTTCCAACAACCAATTGGTACTCCTTGAAGCACTATACTGTATTTTTTCTTCCCCTTTCTTATTGGTTTATCTTAGGATAGTCTTATAGTTTTCCTATTAATTAATATATGTACATGTAAAGCAAATATTGCGGGAAAGAAGCTGAACTCTCACCACATTTGTTAACATTAGTATTTGTGAAGCACTTAACTCCAATGATCTAAAGAAAACCGTTACCTCCAATCTATTGATGAAACTTGTTAATCCACCACGAGCCTGAAATCCTTGCATTTCGATGTTAGTAATCAAATCTATGACTCTGACAGCACGAGTAACAAACTGAAAATTGAAATCAACATGATATTATTGCAATCAAAGCTTAAATTATAACATCACTAACAATGAATTATCTTACTTACTGTGATATGTTCTAATTCATGCCCAGGCCAATCAATAACTTGCAATAAACTATCCATCATACCACAACTTACTAGTGCTTCACCCCCAGCCTCATAACTAGCAAGGTGATATAAAAAACTGAAGAGAGATGTGGCAAGTGGTAGAGAGTACTTTTCAACTCTGAACTCATATGGAGGAAAATACTCATATTTTGAGTCCCCACGAATTAAGTCATAAATACAGCTACGAGTCAATGTTGGAAGAAATCCATGGTATGAAGATGCTCCAGTAACATCAATTATCATGCTCAATCTAGAACCTGATTTTCTAAAAGAAAATAAACACAGTGTATGTTAATTCAACACAGAAATGCCCACACTAAAGGCTAATAAGGTTTACTGTATGTAAGTTATCAGAAAAGAAAGAGTTAACTTTAGGACTTTGAACAGAAAACTTTAATGACAACCTTGCTCAAGAACATTGCTCATGGTAGATACATGGGGAATAATCATGGATTAACTGCTCAGCTACATGAAGTAACAGCTGTATCAGAATCCATTACAATAAACTCCTTTATCTTCATTAATCAATGACATTGTCATGATCTTCTTTATGATTATGTTATGATTAGAGAATGGACTTAGTCTTTTTTGCCTTTTTATTCCTCATCTCAAAGGTCTTGAAACAAAATGTATTATTATTCAGAGTTCATATGATCTTAATTTTACTTATAAGTACTTTTTTTATTTAAATGAATTTATAAAAATCATCAAATGCTTGTTGATTTATAGTCGTCATTTTTCTGCCATTTGAAGAAAAACATTAATATTAACACACTCAACATGTTCATTAGAAAATATCTTTGTACAGTTCAGTAATAATGTTTACATGTAATTTTTGCAAATAAACAATGCATGTGATTTGCAAATGGTTGTCTTGTACTTCAGCAATATTTATTGGATGAGTGTCTCAATCCCTGACGTATTTTAACTTTCATGGCATTTTACGTTCGTGTACTGTGTTATTTTCAGCAACATTTCATAGTGAACAGGGGAGACCACACTTTAGAAACAGGAAGGAATGTTTAGAGCTCTTTTCAAACCCGATAAATGCTTTACAGCATTATGAGAACGGGTACGGACATTCAGTGGAGGTTGGTTTTTCTTCCACCCCACTTCTTCTTTCCCCGATGAAGGAAGCACGAAACGAAAGAGGCATATAATCTGAATCATTATGTTTATTTCTACTGTTTGGAGTACCTTCACAGTTTTCATTTTCAAATAGTTTATCGGTCTTCTAAATCACTTTCATTGTTAACTAATTACTTCATCCTCCCTTCTTCCAATAAACTGAGCACACGCACCCGATCTATCAAACTCGTCAATATATTTTGCAAATGTCAATTAATTCCAGCAATAAGGGAATAAAGTATGTTCAAGAAATCAGTTTACGTTTTACGTGTGTACGCCCGTCTAAACACACACTGAAACATAGATTTCAGTAAAGACGGGAGAATTTGATGCAAACTTCCACATTCAATTCTTGTTTCTGACGATTGCTTGAAGTATCGGATGTTTTACCCTAATGAAAGCTGATCGTGCCTACGCGGATTGTGTCACAGGAAAAGGAAATTCGCAAAGGCTCCGTGAACGACGCGCCTGATACATCCCGTTATCTCGGATCTCACATAGGACGGCACGTGGGAGCTTTAGGACATCAGACACACCATCAAGCTAAAATGAATTTCTGAGAATTGACAACCTGCAATAATGTGACAAGTAATGGAATTTGTTGGTAAAGGACTAGGGGAAAGGTACTGAAAATATCAATGGTATACAATATTCTCGCCCCGGTCGGGTTCGATTCCCGGTCGAGTCAAGACTATAGTGTGTGTTTTCCTTACAATGTCCCAGTGTATGTTGCTGGGTGACGAAGAGAAAATTCACTCTCAGGTGGAGAAGCCCGGAATACGGCATGGGGATGTCTACGTGCTAACCACACGTACCCCCGTAACCCAAGGCTGCGATGCAGGGACGTAGCCGGTAAGCCTGAGTTCGTTCAAGGGCTGTCGCGCCAAGTACACACACAATATTCTCAAACGAAACGACGTAAAATAATATAGTCTGGGGCCAAATTCTCCCAAGCGACCCCTCCCGGGTTCAAATTGGTGGTAGCAGAGACCCTTCTTTCACGGGTAGCAGAGAACGTTCGAGTACATTTTCCCGAAGTTTGCAGATATACAAACACGTCTGTTGTGATATCTGTAGTTAAGAAAGATTCTCAAGGCACCATCTCGAATTTCTGTTTTCAAAGTAGCTCTTTCAGACAATCCACTGCCACCTCAACCAATTCTCACACGCTGGGGAATGGTTTCAGGCTGGATTGTATTACGCTGTTGTGTTGTATTGCGCTACGCCACTAATATAGGAGAAGTTGTATTATCTTTTGATAAAGGCGAAGCTGTAGCTACATCTGAAGCAAAAAGGCGTTAGTATTTCAATCTTGCAGAAAATTTGGCCTTTATCGCACTCATTTTAGTAAAATCTCTAGTATTTTAACGAAGCTGGAAGAGAGATGTATGCCTCTTGTGGAAGCAGAAAGTACAATTCACAGTCTTCAAACTTATTTAAACCAAGGCCCAGGCAACATAGATAAAGAAGTAGCGGTAAAATTTGAAAAAGTACAACGTAATCCGGATTGAGCCACGATGGTAAAAGTGAGTTCGATATTGAAAGGCGAAGTGATACATCTAATTTTGAACCCATATAACAGTCTTCTATGAAATATGCACCTGTGTGCTTACGTAATGTTCGAGGGTAAGTCGATAAGAACCAGTAATCAATTTTTATAATTTATTACAACAAGAGTACGCAATTTTATTGATATACGTTTTCAACCTAGTCACAATTCTTTTCATTGCACTTGGTCCACCGTTGCACAAGCTTTCCCATACCCTCTGAAAAAAGGGGTTTTGGTTGTGCAGCAAGCCACGTATGCACTGCTTTCATCGCTTGTAATTTGGAGCTGAAACGATGGCCTCTTAAAGCAATTTAAATGGACCAGGGAGATGGTAATCCGACGAGCTAAGATCGAGAATGCGTACGATGCTCCAACAGATGATTCTCATGCGACTGTGCTCTTCATTGAGTCGTTTTGGAACACATTCCGCAGTACTTCTGAAAGTTAAGCTTGTTATGCATGATTTCATAAACAGAGCCATGGCCAATGTGCAGATGGTTGGCCATATCATCAACAGTCACTCGTCTGTTATTCAGGATGAAGGAACGCACTTATTTAGTATTAGTTTAGGGTTGGGGCTGTAGCTGAATGCCCCATTCTTTCTTCATCATTCACACTCGTTCAACATTTGAACTGTTCTGGTAACTTGTAAAAGCTCTGAGGCAAAACACTGACCACGTATTGTGCTGAAAATCATCTATGAATGTCCGCTCCTGATACACCTCCAGACCAAAAAAAACGGATAACGAAACGGATGTTGTTCTTTTGTGCAAACAGAGAGAGTATCGCAGCCATCTTTACGTAGCAACATTACGTAGCTAATCAGATAATGCTGAAACATCCCAAGACAACGGTCCAATCTAGTGGCTGGTGTGCTAAGTCGTAGAGCCAACCTAAGGACAAATAGAGAAAATTTGCAAATATTTATTGACTTACCTACGTAGAAAGGTGGTTTTCAAAACACAAAAATGTTTGAAGTAACAGGAGATCGCAGTTTTGTTCAGCACATCTTTAACAGTATTTGGTATCACACTGCCATTTCAGTATGTGATACTTTCCAAGATGTTTGTTTGGCACCTTGGCTTTAGCAGACATGCACTGCTTACTATTAAAATATGTTTGCTTGAACCAGTTGTCATTTACGAGATATTTATATGAACAGTTAATTATTTACGGTGGTTGAGGTGTATATCTAATTTGGTACCATCCCTTTGTAGTAATTTGTTTCAATAATAAAATGTAAAATTGGCAAAAATATCAACAGTGGTTTGTTTTTAGACATAAGAGCCCTTCCCGAGTTTAAATGCCTATTTTTTGAGATCTTTTCGATTATTTTTGTCAGCCTATTTTCTATTCTATAGTGCCTATCGATCTGCCCTCTAGTTATGATCACTACCACAATCACTGCAATCATCCCCCACCACAATTACCACCATATATACTGAGAAATTCACGCCATCACTTGAAAACAAGAGATTAGATAGGGAACTCATAAGGTGCACTAACAGAGCAACTTTATCAAATTGAACAGTCTAGACACTACCGCTGAACCAGTGGCGGAGGGTAAGTTACATTTAAGGATGTTGCAAAAGCAATGGTCGTAAGATATTTTCCGATTAAGTAATGGGCACAATTATTAAAATTGTTTAATTACATTTCACCTTAAATTAAAATATATTTTGAAATATTCGGATTCCGGATAATTGTAAAGAAGTGTGAAAACTTAATACTAAGAAAGAAAAGACACGAAAAATTCGCCAATCCAAGAAACTGATTATAAACATTTCTCGAATGCGGCACCCACGTGTGACAACGCGCCATGAGCGCAATGCATGTTGTCGCTCCGAAATCGGGCTGAGGTCAGCGTCACCTCCGTTGCCGGCGACAAGTCGGCCCACGCTGCACGTCCGGCATATATTCCTTTCAATGTACGCAACGACTGATAAGTGGATGTTGAGCGACTTGCTTTTGCGCGGTGAAGGGGCACGATGTCTACTATGCTACTGACTGTTGCGACCTGACCAGAGAATTTGCGAAGAAAATTAATACTTTAATATATTAAATCGAAATATCCCCGAGCTTTCATTTTGTTCTCTTTCGCCATACCATACTAACAACGCAAGTTGAGCTTGCGTACCACAAAATTTGATACAGTTTATAAGTGTCTAGAATATGCCGGTTCTTATGCACTTCATCATTGTCGTTTTAGTGAGACGATAACAGTCGCTAAGCCAAATCACAACATTCAAGTTAAGCCAGTTCAACATTACTGATTTTATGGAGATGTGTCTCTTGATATTTTTAAACATTCTCACTCAAATTGTTAATATAATTATAGCCGGTCTTCGTCCACACATTTTCCTCCTTGTTAAATAAGACGCAAAGAAAAAAAATAGTGCATTTTTTCCTCACACTCATCTGTATGTTGAATAAATATTAGCATTGAATCGTCGACGAAACTTTTCTTGTGCTGACTTCACAGTTGTTTCAATTATGAGAACAGACTGATCCGGACCAATCTTCTTGATTGAAATAATTGAAACAATTGATGCACGGGCACAAACCAAAGCATTATTCAAACCCGAGATGTAAACACACAGATTTTAAGTCGACCCTCACCATCCACATCAGATGCAAAACTTCGGAGCATCGTAAGGGGTCAGCTAAACGCTGACGGCACGACGGTGACTTCGTCTCGCAGTTGGGTGGCGCCCGACAAGTTCTGCGCCAAGCGGAGTTCACGGCACGAGTGAGAACATGATCTGATGAAAGCACCTTATGAAATCTCAGAAGAGACGTCACGTGGTACCTAATGGTCGTTATGGAGCGAGGTGTTGCTTCGAAAACGTGAACAGCAACGTAGCCACATCGTTTCGTCAATGTAATACTGGTGTGGAAATTTAAAAAAATAAGAGCAGAAAAAAGTCTTCAGACTAATGACAAATACGATTGTAATAACGAGGTGTATATTCTGTTTTGTTCAATTTTTGGGGTGTTGCGTGAACCTGTGAATCTTATAAAAAACCGCGCCAGAGCTGAACAATCCTTAAATTATTGCAACATTTTCACTAATGTGTAATTCATATATTTAATATTTTCTAAATTAATATTCAGGGCAAAAATCGATGCGACAGCTTCCAGAACGTTTCGATCGACCAAAAACAACAAACTGATACCGCCGATGAGATCAAAGAACAGGAGAGACCATAGACCGAAACTCCTCAATTGAGTTCCAGTGAGACCCTTCTTCCGCGAATACTTCGTCCGTGCCTAGTATGCTACTTGGTGCTACCCTTGTATGCTACCTAGGGCTCTCTGGTGCTATCTATTATACGCGCACGTTTTCTTGGGCCCCGAAATACCTACTCCCACTCCTTTTCTAATATTGAATTAAGAATAGACGATAACGAGCGGTTTTGAAGAAATCGGATAACCAGGAAAGTTCGCTACCGTGTAACAAACTATTTCAAAACGAGCATTGGATTCCAATAGAATAATAGACAATCCAATCTGGGCGACGAATCGTCGTAGACACCTACATTCCACATTAAATTGGCTATTAAATGTTAATATTTTAAGATACTTGAGTGCCTATAATTCTATTGGAATCCAATCATTCTAAAAATTTTAATAGAATCGTTACGAGTAATGAACTATTTTGGATCAAAAATCGAGCTACCAATTTGGGATATTCTTTACATGATGAGGGACGCAGCGCATTTCACTCGACTCAACCTGCGGACTCATTTGTCTCGACTCAACCTGCGGACAAGAAATTTCGTTCTGCATGCTACTACTGACTTAAGGGGACTTGCATAGACATGTATTCGCGTGACAAGAACTAAACCTTGTAATATAACGTTCTCTTCTCTAACCTATAGACACGCGAAGGAAATTATTACAGGGTGCTTAAAAAACAAAGTAAAAATTTGTAAAAACTCTTTGAATCACTTTGATTTTTTTGGTACGAGAAGCTCCAAATCCCTTTCCGCTTTTCCCTAAAGCAGTTAATAATGCCCCACAATCTGGAGATGGAATTTGAGTGGGAACGAGTCGATGTTCACGACACCACTGTATGCTGCCTGCCTCATTTTCCACAATATTTGACCAAGTCATCGAGTTCATGTTCTGGTTCATGTTTGAACGACAAACAACAATGAATACTGCTAACTTAGATTACGAAGAATGGCAGGACGAAACGTGTATATGTACATTTGTTGTGACGGCAAACATACAGAACCGGCAGCGTTTAAGCGACTGACAACTCCGTCACCACGTGCTGTGGTATACGTGATCTGCTCTGATGCAATCAGCTTGTAAGGATTTGTTTACTTTCCACAGCCACAGTTCAGCGTTGCCGCTCATATCAGTCACAAGAAGGCGCGGAGGTGAGAAAGTTCGTCTGTGGCAAAGGTTATGAATATGACAAGGAGTTTGTGCATGCCATAGCGGACAGCACTATCGATTTTCTGAGCATGCGCAGATGCACTAAAGTGATGCAGAGCTTGAACTGCTCATGCGCAGAATATCGATAGTGCTGTCGATTGCTTGAATGATCGAGGGTGCAAAAGTTCCCTAATGTTTTGAGATTCTATTTACCTGCCATGTGCGCAGTAATGTGTGGCAACAGCGGATCGAACTGTCACAGTCTGGCGATACTTCGATTTATTTGTAGTGGCACTTGACGTAAGTCTGCTGTTACGATATCCAATCGGGAGCTTAAACGTCAGTAGTGACGTCACTATGGTGACGTTCAAATTCCCCATTGGATGGCACAGTAACGTCTGATTAAACGTTAAGTGCCATTATAAATAAATCGAACTACATAGTGGCTTGTATATGCCACTATAGTGTCAATGTCTTTTTTTAAAATTTGTTGAGTCTGTATAGATGCAACGCGTCTCCAAGCTTCTTAAGGAGCGATGAACGCACCGGGTAATAATCCTCCGTTAATTTTAGTGGGATAGTAATCTTTCGTTATTAATCACCCAGCACCCTTTATGGGCCGCTGGGTAGTCAAGTCACGTCAGTCGCAGTCAAGTCGGGGAATCGCAGACAGGTTGCGTCTTCGCGCTCGCGTCTCGCACGCTGCCCTGCGTCATCTGTCAATCGGCCTGCATTGGGAAGGAATAAGGATAGCGGTAGGGTTTAGGACGCTTCACAGGGGTTGGGCTAGGTCGTTTTGTCGTAACAAATTTTACATAAGGTTCTACGGGGATTCTACAGAAATTGAAAAGCAAGCGACTTCACCACTGAGCCACGTGAGCATTAAGGACTCTTAACGACTGGTTCACTTAAAGAGATAAGCAGAACTGCCCCTGTGTTCCGACAGGAGGCCACTGCCCTTTTAGGGATTCAATGGGATCATATCATTATCATCATCATATAGTGGCATAAGAACGAAATCCGCTTTCCCCAACATGTAAAGAACAGCCCACATTTGATACAATGGCCCCCGTCGTCGAAGTAACCAACCTCCCACTCCTTTCGCATCCACCAAATGAGGGTCTCAGAAAACCTACGCACGTGGGAAAGTGAAGTCCAGTGGAGTGACAAGGGTCCAGGGAACGCAAAAACTTCTCAGTTCTAAACATCCATAAGGCATTTTTCTCTTATGCTTCGATTTTAACACTCGCTATTATCATGTACCGAGCCGAGTTCACTTTACTAAATACCATGTTTTTTTTTACCGTTGAAATGTGCAAAATGGAGTTTTTTACTGCCATGCACACTGTGTTGTCGCTTTTCTCGAGAATATTAACCCAACAAATATATTGTGAATGAAATTGTCACTTACTTTGGAAAATGCGGATTCCTATCCAAATGTATAATCGATGTCAGAGTCCTTACAGCTGAAGCTCGGATTTCAACTTGATCATCAACAGCTATGTGTAAAACATTTCGTAATTCTTCCACTAATCCTTCATATAATAAAGTATGAGCGCACTCTGCTAAGGCATTTGAATATGCTAGAACTGAAAGTGCTTGCAACCGAGCCTGAACGCATAGCAGACGAACAGGATAGTTTGGAAAGTTCACTGCTGACCGGATGTACGTAAACAGCATCATCTGTAAAGTACATGAACATTTATTTACATTCCAAACATCACCATTGTGTTTTAAAGATGCCTTTCTTTACATGAACTACACTTACTAGAACTTGTTTATCTCTTGGTGGAGGATACCTCAAAACGATGTCATTCATAATTTCAGCGGGAGTTTTATTAAGAGTATGTAATTTCTCAATATGGATAACAACTGGAGCAACAGAATAGGACTTATTTTTTCCAGAAACTGTTTGAGTTATGTCTGTAACCTCTGCATAGTATTCATAGTGTAGTGTAGTAGTTTCAGGAGGATATTCCTGCAACACAAACAATTAATAAAACAAACCAAAGGAATTAATACAGTACAATATATTTATTAACTTGGAATAGTAATACTCACTTGTATTGGCTTGTTAGCCACACAATTACTAAGAGAGTAACCATGTCTTGCTCCCCAGTTCTAAAAAGAAATACAATAATATTTTTTATTCAATCGTAAATTGAAAGCAGAAAGACTGAGTGAGACTTCCCAATATTTGTATTGCAAGACAATGAATAGCACGCACAGCAAGAATGAATTGGATTAAATGAATTGTATGAATAAATAGAAATTAATGTAACAGTTTACCATACCTCTGCTAAGTAAGTCAAGCGTTGAATTAAAGCCACTCTTTTCTCATTATTAATGCGCTGCAAAAAATTACTTCTCTTGCTGAACATGTACAGAAGATTTAGAACAGCCAGTACTACATTCATGTCACATGATGCCAGTAAAGCTATCAGGTGTTCCATTGAATTGTACAGATGTCGAGAAAATGAATGCTCAATCAAGAGAGTTGTAAACCGTAGAATCCAAAGTAAGAGAACTTTCACCTGTAAGAAAATAATATATATGAAGTTCAGGTAATTTCATATCAACAATGCCGTCAATGGAAACTATAAAATAGCATTAGTTTTGTTATATCATTTTTTAATCTATTTCATTTTTTAGAAGTTTTAAGAAAAAATCATGAACACGAAAATACAAGAATATTTTCATGGAATTTTTTCTCCAATGGCAACTGCAGTAGAGCAATGGCAGTTAGGTTAATGGCCTTGACAAGGGACAAATGAAATCGGCAAAACATTTTCAATATCACTCTTTAATACAGGTTTAAAACTTACTTGCTCATTTTCTTGAAGATCACAATTTATAATCCAGTTATTAGGACTTATTTGTCTTGCTCCTTCCTCCAAAATAGAGTCAAATATGTCTAGTATGTCGATCCAATGGTACAACTCACATTTTCCAAAAGTCCAGGCATCAATTGCTTTTAATTCATCCAATAATTCATTTTGTGTACAAGATCGTAATTTGTCTATCAGTGCCTGGCACTCAGCAGGCTGTAACAATTGATGATATTTAAAGTCAAACTGAAGTAGCTAGTGGACAAATGTTTAGAACTGTCAAATAGATTACAGAAATGTAGCGGATTGGCGGGAGGGAGGTTATGCATCGGTCCAATTTTTAATTTTACTCAATTTATTCAAAACAATTGTCACATTAGGACAGCATATTCCAAAGGAGTCTTCCTATTGTCAGTTCAAAAGATATACATTCTACAAAAGTGATATAGTTCTGCAAGTAATACATCGGAGAAGAGAGAATTGTAATTGACACCTCCTGAAGTACTTTCTTAAAGCATCTCCCGTTACAGAAGGATCTTTAAATTTCTTTATGAGCACGTTTTACCACGCACTGAAGCACTACGTCGACAATCATAAGCGTGCACAGCCTCAAAAAGGAGAGCCATTCCTGGAACCTTCACCCAAGAACTTTTTTTTATTTACATACATATGTACATACAATTTTACTGTACCTCAATTTTATTTTTAACTTATTTTGAGTGGTTGTAGGAGGGATCGACACGAACTTTGCCGCATTATCCTGAATAGTGTACATATTTCAAATTTTTCGCCTCTCAATATATATGTATATTAATGGCGTTTGAGACAAGCTCGGAAACCCCACAACACCCACACAGCGTCGGCGAATCCAAAGATCACCGGAGCACAGGCAAGCCGAATAAATGACTAACGGAACAGCGCTATCTGTTAGTTGCTGCCCGTCGGCGCGACAGGGGCGAACTTCCAGCTCACGGAGAAACGTGGAAGGGTTCGTCGTGACGACACGCTACTTATAAATATCGGAGCAGATGACTGACTGTCCAGTTTCCACAGGATGTAACCGAAATTTCCTTATGAGCACGTTTTACCACGCACTGAAGCACTAGGTCGACAATCATAAGCATGCACAGTCTAAAAAAAAAAAGCCATTCCTGGGACCTTCACCCAATAACTTTTAGCCAACTAAACTTCAAAGTGCTGTTCACATTCTCTGAGAAGAGCCAGGCGTCTCATGAAAGAGTTCCTATGACAATGACGTTTACATCAGATTCACGCTCCACAGGCCATTGGCAAGTTCTCACAGAAGTGAACAAAGGACAAAAGAACCTGACAAGAATGCAGCGCACGAGAAAGGGCAAAACGAACGCGATGTTATTTCATAGAGACTTTACAATTAAAATAATTTTTTATATCTTAACACAGAATTTAATCCCTCAGCCAGTTAAAACGACTAGATATTTGAAGTGATCTGGCATTGGGTCCCGTCGCAAGAAGTTGGTGAATCCACCATATCTGCACATCAATTCTGTTTCTTATCCTATAAGGGCTCAAAAATGCTAGAGTTGGTTATTTCCAAGACAGGGATATTACATCACATCTGTAGCTAGTTTTTCAATACAAAATAGTTTCTATTACATGGCAGCGCGAATTTCTGGTTATCACATTTAGCCAACAACGCTCCTTGCTATCATTTATTCTTAATTCAATGATGTTAGCAAATGAGTGAGGGAGGTATTCCGGGACTCAAGAAAATTTGCGAGTGTATAGTACGTTTATGCCCGTCGCTAATCATATGCGTAACCATTTATTACATCTATAGAGTAACAATCCGTAGCTGCTTGTAAATGTGAATGGAGCATTTAAATAATTAATTTTAATAGTTAAAAGAGAGATATGGACTTGTAGCTGTATAAAAACAATGTTTAATATTAAATTTAGAAGTAATTTAATTGTAAATTTCCTTTGATTTTTTCATTTTCGTAAGTTGCCGACACCTAATATTTGGTACCATCACTTTCAATGCAATAAATATATTTTCATTTCCACTTCTGAATTTAAAAAAATATTTCTAACTTTTCATTAATTTATGAGATAAAGTGATTTTTGAAGTGTAAGAAAGGCAGCAATTGTGACTTAACAATAACATATTTCAAGAAAGTATGTACTGTTGGAGCACCTCTTAGTGCTTTTTTGTGTCAATTTTCAAATAGAGAAATTTTGAAAATTTATTTTTTCCACAATATATTCTATGTAATTTGTTTAAATATTTTTTGTCTTTCAAGTTGATTTTGTAAAATTAACAATTCCTTAATTTAAATATTGTAATGGGACGGTCGCACGCGCCAGGTGGCGACGCGTGTTTTATAAAATTAATTTGAGTATAACGTTGCTGCGAAAGATGCCAGGAAACAAGCAGTATTCCTCTACCTTCAAGCGCTTCAGGGCACCGGGGACGCTGAGGCATGCGGCCCAACCCGCGCCAGGCCACATCTGGTGACTCGTGGGGAAAATACGGACCAGTTTCCTTCGAGCGACGCATCGCCGCTGCGCCCTGTTCTAGGAACTTGTATAACGTTCGAGTTACGTAGAATTTGGCAAGAGAGGGGCGTCCGTAAATGACGTCGCGATAGGGCGGAAGAAACCGCGTCACGCGCGCCCGCCAATCGTGGGAAATGGGGCGAGGACGGGTCACGTGACCCGAAGCCTACGAGGCGATTGAAAGACACTAGGTCTGCAATTCCGATTGCGATTCCTATCAGGGACACGACGAGGTGGGCCTCCCGAGGTGAGGGCGAGTTGCTTCGATTCACGGGGGGACGCCAGCCGCCGCCCGAATGCCTTGCCTCATCGCCACATCTAATGCCGACTTTTTTCAAGCAGACTTTGAATGAACGCAGTGGGTCATGACTAAGTGCCCGACCGTGACGATGGGCTGGAACGCGATTAACGCAGCCGCGAGTCGGGACGCCAATGCCCGGACCAGCGCTGTTGGTGCCACCACGCCGCATCCATCTCCCAACCGCCTTGCTGAAGGGCAAAGAGGGACGAGGCTAGACGCAGCCGGCCGACGTCCGCCGCTCACGTAACCGGGGTCGTGACCATCGGGAGGACGCCGCCTGCCGCCCGCCCGACTTGCTGAGGGGCAAAAAGGAGTGAGGCGAGGCGCAGGGCCGCCGCTTCCGCCGGAAAGGGTCATGATCGCCCGGAAGGACACCGCCCGGCAGCCGCTGAACTCTGGCCCGTACTGCCATTTAAAATAAGATTCGATTTACGGTAGTTCTAAGCATTAATTTTAGCATGAGGATTCACCACGTTCATAAAAGGAGCAAATACATCACTTTAAAAGAAACGAAACAATGTGTTTGAATGTAGTGGAAGTATTAAAGTTAGCCCTATCACGCATATCTCCCTCTAGGGAGTCTGCAGACTTAGCAGCCGGGGCAAAGCTGGATAGAACGATATACTGGTAATCAGGTGAGTCGGAGCAGCCACACGGAGGGCATGGTTACAATATAAATTATATTAACAGAATGTAATATAAAAATTAACAAATCATTTTCTAAATTTAATTGTGAATTTCAACTTCGAAATTGCCCTTCCATCTGAGCTTGCCTCTGACTTCCTTATCCAGGAATGTATACAGTTCTGCAGAATTTTGTAAATTCACTCATAAGCTACATAACGAATTAAAACCATGGGTAAACGGGTATAAAACAAATATCCGTGGTAAGTAGTACATACATTCGAGTTGATGCAAATAATTCCTTTGTTAGTATAAACGATAGTCATAACTGTAGCTTAAAAACGTGGGTTGTGAAACTACTAATCCCTCAAAATCCTCACTAAAAATCCTCTCTTTGCCACCTGCCCCCCCCATATATCGAAAAATTCACCAGGCCTTCAGCCTGTACGAAGGAAATTACAACGGGGAGATGGGCTGTAATAATTGGACAATCACCAAACTACAGCACAAGCACAACTTGACAGCATATAAGGCTACTGGAAATATTGCTCAATCCCCCGCCCCCATGGTCACACGAACACATACATACACTCTGAAGATGCAGCCTATCTACAGTCTGCAGGGTTTACGCCAAGCAATGAATTAGGAATGATTTGAATCCTGAGCAGTGGGAGTGGAAATCGACCAGGGACATCTGGATTCCAATAACTATTCTGCAGACCCCAGCTCCGGAGAAACTGCTACAACTTATCTCCTGTGAATGCAATGACTACCATGCAATTTGTAGATGAAGCCGAACAATTCTCTTCTGTACATAGCTTTGTCTTCACTGCAAAGGGACGTGTTCCAAAATTGTTGGCACGTGTAACTACTGTACGTGCCAACACAGCTATGAAGAATGCCTTTTAATACTACCTTCATCGATCAGTCACTCTTCTCCGAGAGATGACCCCGATGCCCGGGTACTGAGCCCTTCCTCGTTTTTCGCACGCGGAGAAGCGGTCAACGCATGTGCAGTACGCAAAGCCCCCCTCTCCTTTCTCCATCATCCTATGGCGAACTGAAGAAGCTCTGGCCCCTTGATATGATCCTGAGCGTTGATGCTTTCAGGCTTGGATTTTGTTCATTGCTCTTATTTTTAGGTTATGCCAATTAAATATTAGTATAACCTAATAAACATGGTCATTGTCAAATTCAATTCTCTCCCTCGTGAAAGTAAATGTTGTAGGCTACCCAGGGAAAACTACCACTTTCAAAAAGGATAGTTTATATTGATGTTTTGAAAGACTTTTTGCACAGCGTGAAGCATCTTCCCCAGTTCGAGTTAAACTGTTCAAATTTTAAACATCAATGTTTTGCTGCTAATGTGGCATCCCTAGAGCGAAGAAGTCAGGGCCATTGCTCAGGCCCGGGAATCGGCGCACAGCGAGCGAGCTCAGGACGCTTGAAACCGAAATGCTTAAGCGAGTTCGAGCGAGCAAATGGAACAACTCGCTGCTCTCTGTTGCAGACGAACAATTAGTCTCTGCAAGTACTTATTTAAAATGTATTATGTGCGACACGCATTAACTAATACATATTCGAATAGAAGAATAAGTACTGGCTACCTTGCCTCCTCCAAGGAACCGCCATTGAAATCAAATTCATCATAAATATTTTGTAAGATGACACAAATTTATCAACATTAAACCTTCGAAGACACTAGTGCTTCTCATAAATTTTAGGTACGAAATTCCTTTATATGCGTTTTACTATTGCCCACTAACTATTTTTACTACTACTAGTATAATATGAATACATTACTGTTGAAATCTAGACATCTACTGGTATCAATTTTGTTTTTGTTAAAATTCATCGTTCTGTCAATATTATTACTACATCACCATTATTTATGTAATGATTATTGTCAATTATAGTATAGCCACTAATAACCAATTCTGTATACATAAATCGAGAAAAATAGAGAAAGTACATCTAACAAAAAAAATTCATAAAATAACCGTATACTAAAAATACCACTCCAAAATCAGTGTTTTAAAATCTATATTGCAAGAATTATTTGATAACTTACCACTTCCGAAGTGCTCTTCTTTAATCGACTTCTGTCAATCTTCATTTTGCAATTTTATTTCAATATTTCTTTGATGAAGTGACAATTAAAATCCCATTGTCTGCATCGTTAAATCTGTAAAAAGAAATTAACAATCAATTTTCTCACGTCAACAACCTTTCTTCTTTTGAAAAATGACATTCTGAAAATTCATATTTACGTAGCATAGAAATCTAAGAATGATAAGCATGTGTTAAGATAATTATCTTCTGTACATTTTTCGCAATTTCATTTTACAATTCTGTCAATTGCCAATAGTTTATATCCAGAAAGAAATGCAATATCACTAATCACTTCATCATTAATTAGAACAATTAGTTCGAAAAGAAGGGTTACCAGAAAGATTTTTTCCCTATCGGAGGACATTTTACTTTAACTAGTGATGCTACAGAATGGCTCAGACTTTCCGGCATTAGTTTTCTGAAGTTATAGCCAGGATATATGGATTTCGTCTCCTGAAATTCCGTCAGAAATGTACTAGTGAGAGTTGACGATTTGTGGAAGTTTGATAATTTCCGGTATATTTTAGACCGGAGAAGTTTCCAAGGGAAAGACTCAGGGGGAAGGGCTAGGGAATTAAGCTTCTGAAAAGTGTGTAGACACGGATACCCGGAGAATGGGGTAACGATGGTCTGAGTGCGAACAATGTCCTGTGACTTGGCGTGATGGACTATTTATAGCTGACTATTCCACCCGTGAAATTAAAACCAATGTTTAACAATATATACAAAATGCCCCAATCAGGGCGGCGGATCTCAAAAAGCTTATCGCTTTTTCTATTCGATTTTTTTTTACAGCTTCTACCTACTGGCCAATCATGATTTCGCACCATAGGAGCTGGTTACAATATATCGCCTACGGTTCAGGGATGGTTCTCCAGCCTCTGCCAAGAGGCATTCTATTCGACTCGTGCGGGGCGCATGCGCTGATCCGTATACCGGCAATGGGTATGGTATTCAATGGCCGGAGGGTAGACGGAGAAGCCGACGTAATTATAATCCATAATCCTAGATAGGACGGATGATGGTCCTATATAGGCACAAGAGATTACTCGGGCTGCGCCCATGACCTACCAGTAAGGGTGCGAAGAAGGATCAATGGTGGTACACATCGGCTCTTCAATTTATGAAAGTTCTCGCCATGTTAAACTCTTCTAACGACACGCCAAGGAAAGTTGCGGATTGGACGAAGGGAAGTTGATGACCGTCAAGAAACAGAAAGAATGATAATGGAGGTGATGAATTCGGCAGAACAGCATGTGGTTGGATTTTGAGATGGAGAACTTCAATACAGCTTCATCGCTCCATTCTTGCTGTTTGTTGAGGAAACTACCTCTCAATAACGTGCCTGCTCTTGGAGAAGCAAAAATGGTAGTCAACGAAGAGCGATGCTTCACAGGCTCTCGAATTATTGATGTGATACTATTGATAGCAATGGATAACAGAGCAAAACTCAGAATTGATTCCTGAGGAACACCGTTTTCTAACGTATGACTGAAGGACAACCTGTCACCAAGGCGGACGCGGTAAGATCTTGACGAAAGAATGGGTACCAAAAACAAAGGGAGCCGTACCCGAAAGCCTAAATATGTAAGGTGCGAAGAATGCCGTACCTCCACGTAGTGTACACTTTATCGATATCGGAAAAAAAGTTGCCACCAGGAGCTGTGTGCCAAGAGAGACTAAGTGCCCCATGGTTGACTGTGCTTCCTGAAACCACACTGAATAGGTGTAAGTAGATTCCTTTATTTCAGGAGCCAAACAAGACGTTTACCATTCGCTCTAAAAGCTTGCGTGCACAGCTTGAGCGAGATTGGGCAGTAACTTGAGACAATTGTTCTGTGCTTTCATTCTTTAGGTATTGGAATAACAACAGCGTCACACCAAATCCTTGGCATGGCACGTTCAACTCAAATCTGGTTGAAAATGCGGAGGAGATAAGCGTTTTCCGGTAATGTTTCAGCATTTTATTATATATCTGATCTGGTCCTGGAGAAGAATATTTCGCTCAAGCGAGGGAAGAGGAAAATTCATCCATGGAGAAAAGAACATTATCATCTTATTCCATATGACTGGAGAAATTTAATCTGCAGTTCTCCATTCTTTGAGAGTTCAGAAAGACAGGAGGGTAACGAACGGAACTGGAGAATTGGTCTTAGTGAGAGGCTAATTCTTCAACTATGTCTACTGGTGATGTGATCGAAATACCGAGGCAGTCAAGGAAGTCATCCACCAATCTGTCGCACATTTCGCCACCCTACTTCAGGAGGCGTATGGCCAGAGTGATGAAATAAAGGTTTCCAGGATGCTGCTCATACAGGAATGTAACGCAAACTTCCAAAAGTACAAATCACTGTTAAGAATAGTCATAATGGATACTAAAATCATGATCACGATCGGGATATTTTGAAATCAAATAACAAAAAAAAACAATGTGGAATATAGAAAAAACTACGACCATATGAATTAGAAACCTTTAAGAGAATGATTTAAAAAATAGCGACAGAAGTGAACGATCCGGCAACAGTGGCTAGTATCTTCAACCAATATTTTACGATAATTCCTGCCAATCTCGCTAAGGGTGGTCTTCAGCCACAAAATTCAAGATCAGACGTCTCCACAAACAATTTAGACTATGTTTTGTTCACCAGTCCGCCTGCGAGGGAGATCAAAAGTTAAGTTTTAACTTACAAAAGGAATATTTTTGCATTAACCAAAAGACAATGTTTCCCATGAATAATGAAAATGAAATTGAACATTGTAGTTAAGATTTATTTAATCTTATTTTAACTTTTTCTCGTACCTCTGGAGGTGTCGACTACCTTTCATTCACTAGACATTTTGAACTGAAGAATTGGCCTGTTTTTAAGGACAATCACACGGCAGCAACACGTAACAAAATGACATGCGTTCTGAGCTTAACGTCAATCAAATGTTCCCTCCCATAACCAGCAATGCCCTAGTGAATTTGTATCAAAGTGAAAGTACCATCCAATTGTTTTAAATAATATTCCGCATAAAAATACTAATAATGATAAAAATTGAAACTGACAAGCTTAATAAAATAATACAATTTTAATGTACACAACCGAATGAAATATTTACTGAACGATTCGCGATAGTTAATTGTCAGTACTTGATTTGTACACTTCTGAGATTGGTCCAAAACCTGTATCATAATGAAATCTGCATCGTAATGAATATCACAGCATGTTGCACCCATCAACAGACAGAATTATACCATGAGAGTAGAAAAAAGTTATAGTGGAGTGAATTTTTCTCACCAGCTTTTGCAAATTTGCTCATTTCATCCGTATTGAAAATTCAACTTGTATTTGGGTTAGGGTAGGGATTCCAGAATTTCAGAAATCGTTGCATAGAATACACTTCTCCCCATAGCACGTCATACAGCTGTTTTTGACGCAAAATAAAATTTCCCTGTCGGTGGCTCTGCTCTTCTCGCGAGGCGCTGTCCACGTCCTTCTTCGCTCCCCTATCCCGTCTCTGAGCAAGTGAGCCCGTTCACTTGTCCGGTTATTCTTTCTGATCGGTATAAACAAATTGTGGGCAAGTCGCGAAGTCGTCTTATGCTCACGAAGGGCCTGAACCGTTTTGGTAATTATTCTGAATAAAATTAGCATGAATTCTTTGGCGAATTTACATTCAACACACATTTCAGAAAACACGATAAACGAACAGGTAATTCCCTCACAGCGTGTTTCGGTGGAATGTAAGCATTCGTCAGCCTCTGCTACTAAAGAATTGAAATTTATGTTAAAGGAAAGGGCTAATGATGTTGGGTAGGCTTTCGCGGCCGGAGTTCGTGTTGTCTAGGCTATCCGGGACGAGCCGCGTCACTGACATGGGGGCTAACGTTTCGGCCGGCTTCAGAGCGTACTGCTGCTCTGAAGAAGGCCACAATACGCTGGCCGAAACGTTAGCCCCCATGTCAGTGACGCGGCTCGTCCCGGATAGCCTAGACAACAAGGGCTAATGAGTTTAACTTCTCTTATTATGAAAGATGGTAATGGTGTTTGCAACACATCACGGTTTCTCATCTTTGTACGAGGTAACGAATATGGCTTTGCAAAAACTGAAGAATTGGCAGCTCTTCAAAATTTTATAGGTATGACAACACCGTACGGTTTATTTGAAAGAAAATGTGTGATACTATTCATGATATGAAAGTGGACGGGGAGAAATTAAAACTTGTTACCGCCGATGGAGTACAAAACATGTAAAAAACAGAGGTTGACTTGTTACTAAAATGAAACAAAAAGCTTTGGAGTGTCGTTCAGATCCTCCAATTGCCATTCGTTGTATTCCAACAATTGTTCCGCAGTAAATTTTGAATTGGGATCAAATGAATTCAGTTGTCAAATCTGCCAGCTTTATAAGAACTTACAAACATCATTGGTAAATAAGAGTGTTTGGTAGAGAGAGGTAGTAACAATGGATATGTTAACATTCTTAAGTGCGCTGGTTAAGCGTGGAAACTTACATGAAAGATTTTTCGAGTGTGTTAGGATATTTCGTTTTGAAATATTTACTATATTATAGGGAATGTAAATGTTGGCGATAAATGTATAAGTTGAGTTCGTATATAGTCTTCAAAATTGGAAATGTCCTCTTATCACCCTCAATGTGTTCCTTCCCTAAATTGTTGCACCTGGATATTCCAAGCATTAATGCCATTGTATTAAAATTATTGAATTACTGTAACTGAATAATCTGAAGTTGTTGAATAAAACGGATATATGTACAGCCTACCAGCTAGAGCTTTCAACTGTAGCCCTTTTTTCCTCAGTGTCCCTAGATCAGTTTTCAACAAATTACATTATATATGAAAAAATAAATTAATATTCTTTAATATTTGTAAAGTGTTAATGATGTGTTATAACAAAAAAGTGAGGATAGTATGAAAATAAGTATAAAATATTGAAGCAAGTCGCTGAGGAGACTGCCTTCACCACGAAACAGCTCATTAACGAAGGTCTCAGATCTACACTGCCTGACAAAAAGGGATGCGACAAAAAATGGGTGGAAGTGAATTAAATTACATATGCTTAAAGTCCA